ATTTTATAAAGATTTATATTACATTTTTTACTATCTTCCTTTATTCCTAAGAAATCTAAAGATATATTTTATATATATTATTTTTAATTTATAGATTTCTTTTTTACTATTGTATCTATTATCATTCAAAAATTCTTATAGCCTAAATTTTGAGTTAAAAATATAACTATATTAAGTAGTTTTATTCTATAATATCAATTTTAAACTAAATAAAATGTTTTTCAGCGTTTTTACTTAAGTTGAAATTATTAATTTAAGTCTCTTGTTATTATCTAATTATACATGCGTTAAAAAATTACTTGTAAACAATTAGTTTAATTCAAAAAAAATAAACTTTCTTTGAGATCCCCCAACCAACTCGAAATTACAGCTGTCAGTCAGCCATTTCATTAATTGAGTAATTTAGGTTGAAGAATGGGTGAAAATCCTGCATGTAAGTCTTTTGCGCCTTAACGGCTGAATGACCTTTTGAGTAAAAAGATTGGTGAGACCAAATCTCTACAGTGTGACAACTTAAACTCATTTTGATGAGATAAAAAGCCCAAAATGGATATAGTCAGGAAAATCAAAAGAGTTTGAACCCAACTGGCTATAGGTTAACTGCTGGGTTAGACATTTGTTATTTTTATTGATCCCATACTGACCTCTTAAGGCTAAGCATTACAGGGTCAGCTAATACTGGTTTTAATGCTTTCTATTTGAATTCAACCTCCATCTCAGCTTTCACTTCAGTTTGGTATCTTGAAACCTAAATGACTTAGCTTAAAGAGAGAATAAGTAAAGAAAATTCCTCCAGTTATGCTTTGATTTTAAGATTAAAAAATGATATTATTATCTCTATGGTTGGTTAGGCTGAAAAATAATTTTTTTTGATATTTCTTTAAAATTTGATTTAGAATCTTTGAATTTTTAAAAAGATTAGTGAGAAAATCATTAAAATACCCCAAAAAGTTTAAATAATTTATTTATGGCTGAGTAACTTTAAAATGTTGTGGTTAAAAAAAAAAAGTTTCATTTTTTTTCTTTGAATTGAAATCCATATATATAAGTTAGTCCATTTTTGATTAAGTAAACTAAGTTATTGAAAAATAGTTACAGAAACTATAAAGTATTTAAATACAATTGATTAAGTAATCAATTAATCTCAATAGTGAATGTACATTATCCTTACACATTATTATTGAAAATACTTAGTTTAGAAATAATAAAAATTAATAATATAATTTAATATATTAAAAGGTTTTCACATTAAGATTTGGTAACAAAACCATAAATAATTTACCAATCTGGCTAAATGGATCGGAGAATAAAATTGATTTCAAAAAGTTGAAAGATGGATAACAACATGGAAAGGTCAAGGTATTAATTGTGTTGGTGAGTATAGTAGAACTTATCAAAATTAATACCAGATAATTATACGATTAAAATGGAAAAAATAAGAAAAATTGATAGAAATTATTAAAAATTATTGAGCAGGTTAAAAATATTTTCATAAATAGTAAAGCTAAAGTAATTGAAAAAACTGGGAGATGAGGAGAGCTGGCTGAAGGATTTAGGAGTGATTATTAAGTCACTTTTAATGGCGAATATAGTATGAAAGGTTTGAAAATAGGAAAATGGGTGCAAAATGGAGGAGGAGAAAATGGTAGGGAAATAAAATATTATATTGAATCTTTAAAATAAATATGACTTATATAAATAAATGAACAATTAAATAAAATAGATTGATTACTTAAAACCTGAATATATATTGTTCTAATAGGAATTATTAAAAAACATAATAAGCATTGATGATTTATGACTAAATTATTTCATTATATTTTTAGTGCAATATATTAGTGATATAAAATTTTAGAAAAATGTAATTTTTTTTATCAATAATTTTTGGCGTTCATTTATTTGATCTAGTTTAAACCAAACCGCTTTTGATTCTTTAATATAGGCTCTTCTTAGCATGCTTAATTACAAACCTTGTATACGATGATTTAGATATCAACAGAAAATGTGAGTCAAGCAGTTACAATTCAAGAGAAATTGAGGTTTTTTAGAAGTGATCCAGAGGTAGTATGGAATTACTCGTTTCTTGTAAATGAGTAGCTACAGAGACAAATTATAAAACAGTTTGGTTGATATATTTGAGGGTGAATGCTGCAGTTAAATAGCCCTTAGTTTATTAAATAATAAAAAAATACAGCTCAGAACTGCAATTAATAAGACAAATCCAGACTTACAAATCTTTCGATTAAGGACGAAGGTTGGGGTATAGAAAATAATGAGGTACAACTGTAGCCCCAAAGTAAACTTCCTGACAAACTCTAGGCAGTATATAAATCTTATTTATTAGCTATGAGTATTGTATATTTGCAAATGTAAGAAATAGGCTATATTTAGTGGAGAAATTTCTATTCTATACATATTCTATAGAAATTAAATGTAGCAAATGAGCCTTGAAATGAGAAATTCTGATATAGTGCTTCACTGAAGTGCTTTGCATCTGCTACTGTAGCTTGAATATGATACCAGTAATCTTTTCAGATGATATTAACTTAAGCAAAGAATGTAATAGAATACTAGAAAGATGATATTCAATTGAGTCCAAATATCCAATTTCACAAGTGATAAATAAGGGCTTGATTTTGAATTTCTCATACATATCTCTAAGCTTGGCATAGCAAGAGGACTGAACTTCAGTTGCTGAAATTCTCAAAAGAAAAGATAAATACATATAATGCATTTTGAAATTATCAATCGAGGATAGCGAATAGAGAAGTTAAGAAATCGAAAATTTTGGATCTTAACTTGAAATCTTGTTAATGAAGACCTGGGACAATATCTTAAGGTTCTTGGTTGGTTTTTTAGAGGTTTATAATCCAAAATCTAAAATAATGAAAAAGATTAGAGATTAAGTATAATGATTCCTAATTTAAAAGGAAGTAATTCAATGGACAAATAATTCTTTGCATATATTAAGATGTTTGCTGAGAAGATGTAACTATCAAAAATGATATTACAATTTATTATTTATATAAACGAAAAATGAATATTATTAATTTGTTAATTTTTGGGTGTTAACAAAACCTAATTAATCAATTTTTAACAACCACACATAAATTACATAATTAGATACAATTTTTAGTTTGAAAAAATTAATTATGATGAAGAAAATAAGTTTAAATCTTTTTCATTTTTAATATTAATATTAGGGTAAAGTAGTAATTAGCTTTGTTGATCAAGCAAAATTAAAATCCCTATTAGATATGCATTTAGAAATTAGATTTTAATTGAAGTATCCACTAAGAGAAACCTTTATGTGGTACAGATGGTCTGAAATACGATGATGCTAAGAAAGTAAATTTGCAGAATGAAATTCATCGATTGGTACAATGTCCTAACTAAATTTATGGAATTTCTATGAGTTTCATCACAGTTTAGTTCCTCTGCTTTCCATCTCTCCATTGCGTTTCCCTCTTTATAAT